CCTCACAAGTCTTTTTATTTCCTTGTGTTACATTTCTATGTCTCCTGTATTTGCATTTCCTTATGCATTTCTGCCTCATTTTGCAAATAARATGGGCGGTCTTCTTGGATCAGCTCCTTTCCTATTGGTCAACAGACAGGAAGGAGCAGGAACCATRTCTTGATCTACTGTGCGTGCTTGTGCTGCCTCAGTTTAGATTAAAGTTTAGTTAAAAACAAAGACACGTGTTTTTCTCTTTGCCTTTGTTCAAAACTTTAAATTTTTCTGAGGCAGCACAAGCATGCACAGTAGATCAAGAAAAAGTTCTTCTTCTTCCTGCCTGTTGACCAATAGAAGAGGAGCTGACCAAAGAAGCTCCACCCAACTTATTTACATAATGAGGCAGAAATGCATAAGGTAAAGTAAAAACAGGGGACAGAGAAATGCAAAAGCAACACATGGAAATAAAAAGACTTGTGGGATAAAATATAAAAAATATTAAATATAATAATTTAAGAGACAGATGCATTTACAAGTAAAAAAATAGCTAAAAAAATATATGAAAATTGTAAATTATGGGCCAAAAATATATCAGTTATTGAAACTAAACTGGAAAAATAAATATGATATAATAATACTAATAAATAAATCAATAAATACACTTAAAATTGACCAGTTAAATTTAAAATATATTTATTAGTTCATTTATATATTTCTGCTTTTATTTCTAACTATGACAGTTTCTACCCATCATAAGTTTGAGTGTTAAGGCTCATTAATGACAAATGGTGAATTTAAACCAGGAAAGCGCTGTAGGAATTAACTAATATTTTCTGGCTTTTTTTAATCATCATGAATATTAAAATCAGATTTTGTTTACTACAAAAAACAAAAAAAATGTCCAATTCTTGAATTAGGTATAAAAAATTTTAAAAAAATCAGCAGTATCCAGGAGAATCACAATTTTCAAATGCATACCTTTTTATGTTTCTGTCTGCAACCAATCCATCACAAATCCTGTTCGGTGCAGAATAAAGAGATCCCAAAGCACAACACTTTCTAATTGGTTTGTATATTTTCCCCTGTGAAATGTGACTCATTTTAAGGTGACATRTGCAGGACTGCATCGAGATTAAAAACAGTCATAACATGTCTGAGAGCGTGCAGAAGTCAGTCACCATTTACATTATTTTCACTTTAATAAGCTTCAGAATGGGAATGGCTCAGTGCCTGGATTATGTTTGCGTGTAGATGTGCACATGCCTGGGTTATGTGTGCCATCACATTCTGATTAGAGAAATAAAAAGAAGTTACGACACCCACATGTACCCTAATTTATATTTTGTCACACATTAAGCTCGTTTAAATGGTTATTTGTTTTCAGGTTATTTTTGCATCTTTTCATTTCTATCAGTTGAAGTCTCAACTCCCACCTAGCCCTCTTTGCAATTCTTTTTTTTTTCTTCCAAGATGATATTACCTTTCTCATCCCAAAATGCWGAAGCAATAATGAGTTGAGGCATCAGTCCTACTTTCTGACATTTTACGCTTGAAGAAGAATTTTCATGTCAGGCAATAACTGCTAGTGAGCCTCAGTGGCACAAGCTCAGGGCTTGCGCCTACACCGAAGCCTAATGGGATAAATCAGCTCTTGCATAACTAGGGGCAATCACTCACTCCGTCTCCTCCATGACAGGACTCAGTTATGGCTTCTGGGTAATATCATTTCTGTTATCTTAAGATATCAAATTTCTGTCTTTATTGGCAAAGACCTTAGCAAATGGAAGATAGTTTGCTTGCCTTGGTAAGACAGGATGAAAAATGAAAGCATATCTTTCCATCTCAAAAGCCCCCGTTTTGGATGGAGAGCTTAGGACTTTGGTGACATGTTCAGGGAATCAAAAAAATATTTCACAAACTTCGGTGACACTGAGCTTTTATTAAGGCATAATATGAAACTCTCTGCTGAATGTCAAACTTTTTGCTAAAGCCGGGTCTAATTTGTGATGTGTTCTATAAACTTATCATGGTATGAAATGTATTTATATAGTATATCTGTCTGTGATTTGTCCCTGTCAGCTATATTCTCCATCATAAATAAATCAGCGTGCTCAATAACTTCATTTTATGTAAGCTGGGTAGCCTCTGAGAGTATCTCATTTTATCCTATGTTTAAGAGCACCTTTTTAAATTCAAACTGGCTCCTTGTGAATTATATCTCTATTAAAAATATAACTACTTGATTTATTATTAGTAAGAATAATAGTGCTGTTTAGTAAAATGGATAACTTTAAACAGGAAAATCAGCGGTGTTAGCCATGAGTACCAAAACTTCGGCATGGAAATGCAGAATAAATGGGTTCAGATTTTGGTATATTTTGATGTGGCACCSTGCTGAATGTGTTGGTCCATTTCATTTGTTCAGTCTGAATATAACTTTTTTTTCTTTCGATCCAATCCAGTTCTTTTTGCCAAGTTCTTGTGTTGGTGATGGAAGAGTTGGAACACTGTAAATGTTGCTGAAGCTCATCCCATTTCAACCTTTTCTCCTTTGATTCTTTCAGGGTAATCACAGCAGATCATCTGCCTCCATCTCACCCAATTGGTGGTCTTCCACWGGGCTGCAATTGTTGGTGACAAGTTGGTGACTCAAACAGTGAGAAAAACTATGTTTTCACTCACAATCTGACTGAATTCTGAGTGTTTGAAACCAAGTAACCAGTGAGCCATGAGGTCATGTTTTACGTGGCCAGTTTCTGAAAAGAATGGACTAATTGTGAGAAAGACTTGTAAAACTCTGGGCCATGCACAATGCCTTGATGCCCACCTCTGCACACACTGTACTTGTTTTAACAAACAAATCCCAGATTCTTGATTTATTTTGTAACATTAGATGAGTTTTTGTTCTAATATTTATCATCTGTAAGATTTTAAGGCTTTTTTAGAATCTGGGCTTTAACAACAGAAACTATTGCTGCAAGTTACGAAACTGAACAGACAAGTTCCAGATGCCAAGGTCAGTTCTTCAGTTATCTGAGAGAAATTTTGTTTCGCTAACTTTTTTTTAACGTTCAATAATTCAAGAGAGAATTCGAGCCTTTGCAACTCAAGCAAAGAAACTGAGAACTGGAAACATTTTGGAAAGACCCTTGTGAGCGCTAGGCTGTGTATTGGCAAGAATTTGGCGATACAATACATATCATGATATATATCCCGATATATTTCGATACTGTAAACAAGGCGATATACTGCGATATTTTTGGTCCAAAAATTATATTAAATAAAAACCTCTTACTGGGAAAAAATAAAAAAATATAAAAATACCCAAAAACCAAAATTCATTGTCTCAGAAAATTCTAATATTATATAG